GAAAAACTGCAGCATCCTTATAGGCTCGGCAGTGCTACGCTGGCTAGCACTACAGAAGAAAGAGACTTGGGGGTCACCAATCACCACAAGATGAACATGAGCCTGCAATGTCATGCTGCAGCTAGTAAAGCGACCAAAACGCTGGCTTGCATCCATAGATGCTTCTCAAGCAAATCCCGGGACGTCATTCTCCCCTTGTACTCAGCCTTGGTGAGGCCGCAGCTGGAGTACTGCGTCCAGTTTTGGGCTCCACAATTCAAAAAGGATGTGGAGAAGCTTGAAAGAGTCCAGAGAAGAGCCAAGTGCATGATCAGAGGTCAGGAAAACAGACCTTACGACAACAGGCTGAGAGCCATGGGGCTCTTTAGTCTGGAAAAGTGCAGGCTCAGGGGTGATCTGGTGGCCACCTATAAGTTTATCAGGGGTGACCACCAGTACCTGGGGGAATGTTTGTTCTCCAGAGCGCCCCAAGGGATGACAAGGTCAGATGGTTATAAACTACTGCAAGACAGTTTCAGGCTGGACATAAGGAAGAATTTCTTTACTGTCTGAGCCCCAAAGGTCTGGAATAGCCTGCCATCGGAGGTGGATCAAGCACCTACATTAAACAACTTCAAGAGCAAATTGGATGCTTATCTTGCTGGGATCCTATGACCCCAGCTGACTTCCTGCCCTTCAGATGGGGGGCTGGACTCGATGATCTTCCGAGGTCCCTTCCAGCCCTAATGTCTATGAAATCTATGAAATAATATAGAGATAGTTAGCAATAGATACAGATATATATATATATATAGAGAGAGAGAGAGACATATAGTGATAGATATATATAGAGACATATATAGATAGCAATAGAAATAGATATATATAGACAGATAGATATAGACATCATGTATAGATAGCTAGTGATAGACATATAGATATATAGATAGACAAAGAGAGAGAGGGGAATAGGTATAGATATCATATAAAGATAGTTAGCTATAGATACAGATAGATATATAGAGATAGGAAGATATAAGTATACCCATCAGGCCAGGCCTTTCTGGGTGTGCTGTCTGGTACGGTGTAACGCAGTACAGCCTGTTCCTGGGCCAAGTTGTCCACGAGTAAATCGGCACCCACGTGTGCTAGGCTGGGTGAGGAGGGTGTGTGGACACCCACCGGGACTGAAAACAAGACCTGTCAAAGGGCAGATGAGCTCCCTGTGAGCCACCAGACACCCAGACCTGGAGAGATGGGCACCGCCTGATCACTGCCTGAAGACTCACAGCAGCGCAAGGACCCCAGGAGGTGATGTTGTAAGCAGAAAGGACGCGAGAGGCAAGGGATATGTTAGGGTGATGCCTTGTATGGGTCCAGCCATGTGCCGGGGATGGAGCTGGACGCTAACCATGTAGGCAGGATACAGCCCCACTACAGGTTGCTCCAATGAAACATCTCTGCCCTTGGCGCCCCAGACACACACTCAAGAGGAGTGAAGAGGCTTTTCCCTTTCCTTCTGCAACACGACATCAGCCCGTGCCCCTGTGAGCAGCCCTCAGGACACGCATCACGTGTCTGCAGCCGCACCGGGGGAGGAGGGGATGCGTGCGCCCAGCAACGAGGTCACTGGACCACAACCAGCACAGCGCGAAGCGGGTCCTCCACCTGCCACTCCCACTCCGGGAGGCGCGGTGCCTATCGGGAGTTGTAGTTTCCTATGGCTGCAAACTACAACTCCCGACAGGCGCCGCCGTTTCCGGGCGGGTGGCCCATTCCATTACTGCTCTGAGGAGAGGGGGGAATACAGCCCTGCCCGTGGGCTTCCGGCATGCGCCAACTGCAAGCGGACGAGTCCATGAGGAAGACTGCCCCCTCTCCTGTCCTGTCTCCGCCCCGGCGGGAGAAGCGGCGGTTGGCGCGGGTGGAGCGGAGCGGGGCGCGTACCGGGATGGAGAGTGCTGACCTGGGCAGCCGGCAGCGCGGCAAGATCTGGCACCGCAAGCCGTGCCCCGCCGCGCGGAGCGGGTAACTGCCGGGACGGAGCGGGGAGAGAAGGGTGGGGGCGGGGCCTGGGGACTGATG